CAATATATATAATATGAATATAACATTCACTACTTACACTAGTTTATCTAGTACTGCCTAGGATTGCTATTGCTTTTTTAAAAGCATTTTGTAGATTTGAGTGCTAGTTCTGAACAATCTTTTAGTTTAAAAGTTAGTTATGAGATATAAAAGTTGATTAACTTATGCATGGTAACTCTCAACATAAAAACCAAAACATAGCAGAGGGGCAATGTTTAAAACTCCTGTCCTGCAGAATGATGGAAGTAATTAGCTTTTTTTAAACCTCCAGGTTCAGCAAGCCCTGAAGAAGCATGAGCTTCTCGTTGCAATTATTAAAAAAGATCAAGACCATAACAAGAGACTGGTATGTTCTTTGAAGGATATTTGTTACATAATACAAAAATTTCACGTTGAGCTAGCTGGAATGCATATTCCCTGGTCCATGAAAGTGGCTTGTTATCTTACAACAATTTTATGCCTCTTGAGTAGCTGTGGTCTCAAATGCCATGTAATCTGTTTGCTGTGTGGCTACTGAGGTTGTGGGACTGGAATATGATTATGACACTGCACTGTTGCTTTAAAAGCGCAAACGAATTCTAAGAATGTGCAAGGAGGAGAAACTTCAGGCTCCTGGTGTTGCTGGTAAAAACACCAGCTACCATGGCAATGCTGACTCCTTAATTATATAGCGCTCTTGATGGCACCACTTTGCTACATCAGTAGCGACTAAAGCTTTAAACTGTAAATGCAGTGTAAAATCAGGGTAGGAAGAAGGTCCAAGGTAAAGGACATTATATATTTAGCAATGATTAACAAAGCTTTGCCTGCGGCAGTATCTATTGGAAGCGTGGTGGTCTTACAGCTACTGTTCTCCATTTAGCAAGAATTTAAGCAACGTATCTGCCGACAGAAATGGGCTCAGAATAAAGTGAGAGAGAAACGCCAGCAAATTGCTAGAGCCAGGAAATATTATGAAAATTACCGGGTTCAGCTGCGTGCCAAGATGATGCGGGCTAGGACACGGGAAGAAAGGGTAGGTACAAGATGTCTTGCTCTGCAAGTGTGGAATTTGTCTTTTTTGTTTGGACCCCAGTGCTGATGACCCATAGTCTGGTAGTTCAAATAATGGTACAAGTAGACAGAGAGCAAGTTAATTGAACAGAGCATAGGAGCCAGGATCGAATGGTTGGTCAGTCAAGGCCACAGATGAAAAGGTTCCTTCTTTGGAAACACTGATACAGTTCTGGGCAAACCACTGTAAAACAAGAAAGGATGCTTTATGGGGTTAAGAGAAGGAGAGAAAGGGTGAAGTATCAGTATGGAAAAACAGAGCTGGTAACACGAGGAATTGGGGAAATGAGTTTTCAGAAACAGTAGGATTAAGAAGTTGTTCCTACAGTTACTATCCAAAGAAAACAATCTAAATCTTCAGTTAAGGAAATGATCAAAAAGACAGCTTTGTTATTCAGTTATGTTTGTTAAACAAAGTGGACTTTTTGACAGATACGATCTCCAATTAGGGCTGGACATCAGAGCTAAGGAAAGCAAGTAGAGTTATTACACTTTGAGAATTGTGTATCTACTCTCATACCTTTTAAAATACAAGACTAGAAGTTTAGTGCATAATCCACTATTAGAAATTTGAGAACTGTTTGCCTCAAGCTGCACAGCACTGTAGCTGGTAAGTGTTCTGTTGTATGAATGGAAAGCCTGAGTACAGGCTGGATTTCCTGCTATTGGAAATCTGGATGAAGGTCCTGAAGTTAGATGATAGAACACAGGATGGGCTGTAAATCACAGTGCATGTCTGAAAACTCGGGCTTGCATTGTCGGGTTGTCTGAAGTGATTTTAAAAGTGTAATGTACATTTGCTGTTCTTGCCCCTTTCTTAGTCAAATGACTAAACTGACATGAAAAATTTATTTTATCTATCAGAATTTCAGCTAAATGAGTAATACAAATACAGCTCAGCTGTATCTGTACCACCATTACTATATACATAATTGTGTACTTTTTCGTGGGCAATAATCTACCTTCATGCGATCACCCCACCATCAGGAGATAAAGCAGCTGAAAAATGTAAATGTATACTTAAAAGTTTCTGGGAAAGTTTTAGGTTTGCTTTTTTTAATTGCTGGCAGATATTTAAAAATTTATTTGAAGAAGGCTTAGAAATTCAGAAGCAAAGACTGAAGGACCTGAGAGCGTATGCTCAAGAGAAGCGTGCTGAGCAAAGGCGAGAGCATCAAAATGAGCTGGAGTCTATGGAGAACTATTACAAAGATCAGGTAAAGTTTAATCTGCATCAAAGACGGTTAATATTTTTTATACTAGAAGTCTTTCCTTTCTTTAATTGGTTCAGCTCAAACATGTGTTTTGCTTAGTTTTCCATGCTAGCAGAAGCTTTATCTCAAGAACGCCAAGAAATCCAAACCAGAGAGAAAGCACAAGCACAAGTAAGTATTTTTAATTTTGTGTAAATGTCATCTTTTTATGTGCTGTGGCTAATGTTTGTATTTTCTTTAGATGCTACAGAAAACAAAAAGGGAATTGAGATCAAGGATGGAAAAGGAAATACAGCAACTGCAAGCAGCAATAATGCAAAGTGATGATGACACCTTTTTTCAAGAACTAGAAGCAGACAGACTGAAATCTAGACTTCAGATGGCTTCCTTTCAGCACAGCAAAAGCCGTTTCTTGTAAGACTTATGGTAAATACCACTGCAGTTGTCTCCGGCTAAGATGATGAGAATCTTTGAGAGCTGCTGTAGCAGGAAGATGGTGTGTGGCGGTTTTTCTCTAAAATATCAGGTCTGTCATTTTGACATGTGTAGCTGCTGGTATCTGGGATCTCTACAGCACTTTTACGATCACCAATAAAGTTTTTAAACTACTTTCTTAGCAAGGCTGAGATAACATTGAGCTCCACACAAAGGAAGTGGGATGAAGTCAGTGTGCTTTAGTGAAGTTATCTTAGTGGAGCAGTTGAATGCTAAGCCTCCTCTACACCTGTGCTGGTTCCTATTGCTGGAGTTGAAAAGCCACACTAACACCATTAGCCAGAAATTACTGGTGTGGAAAGCTCACAAAGAACAAGTGTATCTTTAAAAGAACATCAGTGGTTCAAGTTTCCTTTGGAAGGACAAGTTAGAGAGTACCTGCAGTAAGCCTGACAGAAAAATCAAGTAATTTTAATATATTAAGCAAGGGAGGGGTACTTATTCTGCACAATACTATGTTTGCAATTTTGGTGTTGCTGGCTTGTTAATGGCAAAGCATATAAAGTGCTACAACTGTATTAGAAAAAGTTGTTTTCTATTTCAAACTATGAAAATTCTTCTAAAGCAGTAAAATACAAGCTTCTGCAAGAACTGAAACCTGGGAAGGACCCGTGGACAGCATTCCTAATTATTTTCAACAGGGGTATACTAATAGGTGTATGCTCTGTAGGTGTTTCTGTAGGTATTTCAATTGTTGGATTTCACACAGGGTTTTCAAAACTACATAAGCCCCACATGTAAACAAGTAGTTTTGTTTCTATTGATTGATTTCAAAAGGGAGTCATAGTAATGCTACATACAAATAGACAAGCAATAACAACTTAAGTAGTTTACCATGGTTGCTCTTAGAAGCAGATTATTTGGACAAAAGTTTTGCAAGGGTACTTGTATTTAGTACCCAGTTCAATTTTTTAAGGGAGAAGCAGATTAGTTCTAGTTCTGTCAGTGTGAAGCTAGAGTAAATAGTGATTAAAAATTCCAACATTCAGCTTTTACCTGGAGGTCTGCTTCTAGGCAGAGTAGGAGCTGGCTATAGGCGCTTATCTATATCTTTGTAGAATCATCATGTGCTACAAACACACATTGTTTAGTAGAAAATTCAGGTTTCAGCAGCTATGCATTATGGGCCCTATGAGATGCAAACACAGAGGGATGGATACTTAAACTGAGAACAAATTACATAAACCCAAGCTGATAATTAGTGAAGCCCATTACTGATCTATTCTCCTCTGCTTGACAAAATTACAATTTTTAAATAGTTTATCTTGGTAATGAGGATAAACTGAAGTGTAATTTTAAACAGGCTCTAGTAGAAGAGTTCTTGCTTAAAATTGCATGTGTGAGAAGTGATATAAACATACTGGAATTAATTGCACTGTATATATATTTAAAGCTTGCCATGAGATGGTGTCTGTTATGGCATTGACAACGCACTCAGTGAATTAAGACTCATGCATTGGGAAGGAAAAAAAAAAAAAGAACTAAGCAGGCAAAAAAGCCCCCAGCAGCTGGAGATGCTTCCTTTACAGATTAAACAAAACGGCTGGCAGCTAGAGCATGATATACCTCACTTAAAAAAAAAAAACAAACAAACAAACCAAAACCCCAAAAACACACAACAAAAAAACCTCCACAAAACCAGAAATGCACACCCTGACCTTAACAACCCTGTCCAGGGAGTTGCTGTAAGACAGGCTAATTTATTTAAGGGACAGTATTTACCAGCTAAGTTGATCAAATTTAACAAGTATTTACCAGATTTATTTACCTTTTTTCTTCCCTTAAGGAAGAGGGTTTAGCTTTGCTGAATTTTGAGAGGAGACATCCGTTCACCAACGCCGAGATAAAGTCCTTGCCAAGACACATGTACACCCTTACATGAAAGCCAAAAGCAAGACCTTTTTTGTTTGACTAGAACATTTAGCGCAATCCTTATTGTACGTAACAGCAAGACACCAAGTTTTAAGTATTTTCTCCTGAAACAAAGTTAAGTTACTTAAAAATGATATTGTTACATTTTAAAGTAAATATTTAATTAAGAAAAACTTAAAACTTTTAAAACCATTGATGCTGTGACAGTGCAAACAGCATACAATTTATTGCTCAACTTCTGCATGGGTACATACATTAAGTACTTAAAAACCATTTTATACAGATTTTTTTGTTAAAGCTCATGTAACAGCTGGGTGAAAATACAATGATATCAATGCTAAAACACTCTGTAATAAATACAATGGAAATGATAAACTAAGAACTGTCAGTTTGTGGAGGAGTAATTACACTTGTATAAACTAATTACAACTACAGACAAAGCTCTGAGGATGTGGTAGAGCCAGAAACCTACTACATAGTGTAAAGTACAACAAATGGCACCTGTTAACTATATGGTGCTGTTTAAAATCTGAAGCAATTGGAGCATGCTACATTAAGCTGTATGATGCATACTTATGATATAGAAGCAAAGCTTTTACTTCCATCAATGCAGCCAGTTTAAACGCACCAGAAGTTCAATACAGATGTAGTGTTGTAGAACAAGAATTTAAAAACGGCTTGTGTGCTCTGGACTTTAGTACAACACAAAAATTTGGTACAAATAAATCAGTTTAGGGAAACTGAAACTATGTGCAAAAAAAAATAAGAATACATACTGTACAAAGCACCATTACAAAACTCTTTACACCGAGAAATTAAATCCTCTGAAACTCAACTGTGTACTGTATATTTGAAATCTACAAAAGTCACTGTTCATAATTAAACATTCATAATGAAAAGCAACAGCATAAAACCATGATGTGACATCTCTCTAAAACAACTAAAGACTGGATAAAGTAAAACCCAGTAAGAGGGACACATTGAAATAAATATTCACATTAATCATGGGGTGAAAGTCCAAGGTTAAAATGCAATATTAGGCTTAGCACCTTTTTGAGGGGAAAGTAGCTGACGTGATCTTGAAACAAAATTTTGCAAAGGAATCAACCCTTTAACATTTTCAGATAAACATCTTGACTAGGTGATGAGGTGCTTTAGTTAAAGCTCTCAGTCATTATGAAGGTAGAAAGGCACTCAAAATACTTGGTATATTCATCCTCATCTGTCAGCTATGGAAAGTCAAATGTAGATTTGTCTAGTTTTGCCTATAATATATTAAATCTACAATATTTTTCTGTGGCAGTTAAAAAAAGTTCTCTATGCCATACCAAAGTGTTTGGTAGAACAAACAGATGTACTGCTAAGGCTGCTGTGAAAATGAATGGTATTTATCAGCTGATCTAGAGTCCGTATTCTGCAGAGCTCATCTCCTCCCTCCTCAAAAATGCTTTTATGACATAAGGGTGGCCATAGCTACGCGTTCAATAAATTTACCAGCCTAAGCAGGCTGACGGGGAGAGGGTTCCTGGGAGGTGGGTATAGATGATGTGGTCAGGAGACACTACAGAGACAGTCTTTAAATAGTGCTGAGGTGAGCTGTCTGGTGCAAAGGGAACAGCAGCATACCTTCCCCCCGAATCACCTAACGGAGTCCTGACTTCTCCCAAAAGCTGGATCAAACTGGATTTTTCGTTTTTCATGTTCCACAACCAGGGAGGCTGCAGCCATAGCCTGAGCAAGAGCAGGGGTGGAGGGGGGGGAAGGCTTGTACAACACTGGAGTATCTATCCTGTGAACAGTGGTCAGAAGAACCTGTCTCTGTAAAGTCTCTGTAAATAGTAATTCACATCATACCTCAAAACTTGCAGGGGTGAGAAGAGGTCTTTGGGAGTGTCTAAAGCAGTGGTCCCAACCACAGGCAGCAGTACTGAGTGAGAAACACACTGGGCAACAACCTGCTTTGCTCTCCCAGGCAACCTGGACAGATGTAGTGGTAGCTTCTCTGGTAAGAATATTACCTGAAAGGCGTGAATTAGGGATCCCAACTGGAGATGCAAAGGTACCAGCCATTTTACATGAGTGCAATAGTCCCTTGAAATGAAGAAAAGAAAAGGGTCTGATATATTTCAAACCTGGCTGTCAAAGCAAGTTTCTTGGCTTTATGTTTACATCCCTAAGTAGCCTCATCTCTGCAGCCAGCCCAGAATGGGAAGCACGTCTCTTAGAACAAACCTTCCAGCAACAGCTGTACAAAGAAAATAATCAAATGAACATGTGGATTTGGCTCACCAGATTCTTACCACAATTCTACAAAAGTAGTCCATTGCCCACTATTCTAACGCACAACACCAGTAGTAGTTTACTCATTGTGGCAGTCAGATTTGGCAGAACAAAATTAAGTTCAAGCTCCACAGAACAGACAGAAAATTAGCTAGTTCACTGTGTGACTTACACTGCAAAAATGGAACAGCTGTTTACATCCCATTCTTCTAGCATTTTCAATACCCTTGACTTTCTTCTCATTGGCAGTGTAAAAATAGTGCAGATTTGATGATTAACTGTAACCTAAGTTAAAAAACCACAACACTGATTGGAAAAAAAAACGCGACTTATTCCAAATATTCTCACCGCTGAGAGGAGAAAGCCACCATCTCTTAAGCAGACTGATTTATCTACACACCACGAGCAGATCATACAGATCTTAACTGAGAATTCCCAAACTAACTTCAAAGTTCAGTTCCCTCTACTGGTAGTGCATTTTATTCCCCTTTGAAGAGATCAACCCATGTTATAATTCATATATATACTTACTTCCATCCCTACAATCAATAAATTATGTGCTTTTAAAACCTCATTTTCAAAGCACATTACACATATTTCAGTTAATACACCATTTTTCCGTAGTTGTAACCCACATGTCATGAGCAGCTAGACAAAGATTACAACATGTTTTACCTGATAAATCTTTAGCATCAACAAATATATAACGTGATTTGGCTGCATTCAAACAAACTTTGGTTGACTGGACAGGATGGGTTCTGAAACGAACTGCTGACAGGCTTCTGCTGTCAAACATCACCTCATCAGCATGCTTAAAAAGTTGAAAAATGCAGTGTTTAAATTTAAAGTCAAAAGCAACAAAAAGTACTCTTGACAGACTTGTTAGAAAAACGCTGTTTTAAAAAAATCAGAACGTCTACTGTTCATTAAAAAAGGTCTGTTCCACATGTTAACACAAGTACTGTACCAAATACAGTACGTGTCACTCACACTAGAAATTTTGTTTAAGGAATTTGACAAGTGATATAAATAGGACCCCAAAACATCGTATTTGCAATTCATGCTTGACAAATATAAAAAAGCCCCCTGTGGTAACATTTAAGTTGAATTTACATTGCAGAATATAATGTTTTACTATAAGAAAATGCAGTTAACATGTAAGTGGCTTTAATTAAAAAGATTAATGATTCTTTCAGCCAATTTTATGCAAAGTTAGAATAATCCAAAATATTTTTTCCAAAAATAGCAGGTATAGATGCTGTTCAGTATCATACATTTAAAACAGGCTGAAACGTGACTTGTACCGACTGCTGAAGTTGTGTCTTGGTATCTGAGAATAGAAATCAGGTAGGCAAATATAATAGATTACCTTTTACAAAAATAGTAGTAGTCTTTAAGTATAGAATACTGCTTAACTGTTGAAATGTAGGAAAAGTCAGCATTCTGTATGTTCAAGATATTAGTTTTTAATAGCAGCTGAATGATCCTATGGCAGGAACCACAGAATCTATTTTCTTGAAATAAAAAAAAAAAAAAAAAAAAATTCCAAAGTTGTCCTTTCCCTCCCAGTGTCCTAGTGTAGAAAAGGGAAAGTTTCCTGTATTTCAAGCATTTCTTGAGTCTTGGCTGAGGGAAGGGCTTTCTGGCTGACAGGAGTATAAATAGAGTCTCAGGTAAGCCTGTGAAGGGTCATTCCACAGCAAACCCACATGTTTCTTCAATGGCAGTTAGCAGCTTCTCGTATAGCTTGTCATAGCTTTCGTAAGGAGGAATGTCTATTCGGTTAAAGCTGTGGACAGAAGGTAGGAAAGTTTCAGCCATCTGGAACTTCAAGCATCACCTAGCAAAGTTCTGTTACACTTCAGTTACACTTCAGTTAACGTACTTGAAACAACGACAAAGAAATACTTAACAAGGCCAACAGAACTTCATATAAATAAAAGCAATCTCTAGTTTTCACACCTTTACTACTCTGTAACGGACAGCATTTATTATGTCAGAAAGTCGGGGGTGGGAGGAGAGGAAAAAAAAAAACCCCAAAAGACTGCTCAAAATACAGAGACAGCATATTGGTCTTAATCTATATGTCACAATAGAGACCTGAAAAAGTCTTACCAGGTGTGAGCTTTCGGCAAATTATTAGTGCTGGCATCAATCTGGTGTATTGTAAATAGTCGTGGGCCTGCAGCACCTGAAAATCCAGAAAAGATCTCTACTACTACTGAATTGCATAACATGAAATTTCTTCGTTGCACTGCAACAACAACAAAGTAACTAAAACCACAAAAAGAGAGAAGCTATGCACAAAGAAAGTTGAAATCATAAACAGGCAGGAAAAAACCTCACCGTGCCTATGAGACAGATTCCTCCCCTCCACCCACACACGATAACCATGCAGTTATTTAAACCATTGAAAGATAAACAAGAACAAAGCACTGATAAGGAAGAATAAAATACCTGTTTTACAGAGTGCACTATATAATTCTAATTTAACTTCTCCCACCCTTCCCAGGGAACAAAACTTACGCAGCTGTATCTGTCCCCATTTTGTAACAGGTGTTGAGTAGTGGCCAATTCCATTCACATTCTATAGAAGAGTCACAATACCAACTTCTTACAATTTTGTTAAATTAATCTGACTATACAGAGATCCCCTTAATCTCTCTGCTAAAGAAAAGACTGCAGCACAGCAGTGTTTTAGACTTAGTATACATTGAAGATTTCACAAAGGACAGAAGAGGTTACAAATGCCCTAAACTTAGTAAAACTGGAATTCTTCGTAGAGAGACGTTACACAATATAATCCACAGGGTCAGTCTTTCTCATGGGGACTCTTGGCTGTCAAATAAGAACGTGAGCTGCTTGTGCTAACTCGGCCAAAAACCTGAACAACCTTCATGTTCAAATCTGTAGGAAATGAGGCTTCATTTGCTCACAGAAAACTTGTTTTACTAGTATAATCATACTAAAACTTGCAGCACAGATGAAGCTAAACAGGTATTACTTCCATTACCATTCTCCAAACAGCTCACTCCACTACATTAACTGTATGAACATCAATAGTAGGGTTAATAATTACTTGTAACTATTCTGAGGTGGTTAACAGTTACACAGTTTGCCTAAACAAGTCCCTCCACCCTCTGCAATGTTATTTAAACACTTATCACTTACGGTACCATACGCTGCTTAAAGTAACTAGTGTCTCAAAAAACTCAATATTCCTGAGCCTTTAATGCGTCTGAGTATTTTAGAGCTCAAGAACACAGGAAAAAGAAAACGAGGCCTTCGATCTGGTAATGAAGGGATAATGAAGAAAAAACAGGTTTCTAGAGCAACTGGCTTTTGTATGTGGCAGCTGTTACCATAGCACCTGTGTTCTGTTGGAATCTTCTACCTGTTAAAATGGTTTATGGTCAGTGTTTCCCCTGGGCGGTTTTCTCTCATCTTGTGAGAGGGTGAAATAGGATAACTATTGTGTCAACAGAGCAGCATGGGTTGCAGCCAGAGCTGCTACAACAGAGACCCAGCGCTTGGACTGAAGTTCAGAAGACAGGTCGGTAATTAAGGTGATCGTTTCTGACGCCTGGGCTGGCTGTGATTATGACGCTCTTACAATAAAAGCAGTCAGCATTACGAAGTGCCTCTGCTGTCAGAATCGCAAGAACACTGCATGTTGGTGTTTTCTGGTCCCACAGCTGAACAGGTGATGAGGGCTCGTAAAAAGACAGAAATTAAAAAGCGGGCTTCCAGAAAAAACGGGAGGAGAACCCCACTAAGATCTCCGCTGATCAGAACTTCTTGCTAGAGAAGGAAGTGCATAATTGAAACAAAAGAGCTATTTACAGCTGAATAACAAGGTAATAAACAAACACACAAAAAAGACTATTTGCTATTATTATTCATCAGACCATTAAAAATCGCTCTTAAAAAAGTCACACTGCAGCCAACCAGCCTCATTTTCAGCTCATGTTTCTGTGATGTGTCCTATCGCTTCCTCCAAGTACAGGCATTTGCAGTTACTTCTGGAGAAGCATTACCTTGTAATGCCTTGAAGCCCTGCAGAGGCACTCTGGATGAGCCAGTCACAAACTGGAGAAGTCTCGCTCTCCTCTCTTCATCAAAAAACTCCACAGCTTTCCAGAACCATTTCACGATGTTGCTGTCTGGGGTACAGTGTTTTAACCTAGTATTTGCCTTCCAGTCATTAACATCAATTTTTCCCAGTCCACAAATGATGAGCTGTAAATTTAAAATATAATTAAGTATTTCATCATTGATCAATATAAAAATCGTTTTGGAGCTAGCCAAATTACGAATAACTGATACTGAAAAATTGACAGATTTTATGCCAAGGGCAAATTATAACCTCTCACTAACCTTAAGCAATGCAGAAAGGTAACTTTTCTTTTTTTTTTTTTAATCTTACCTTTGTACACAATCCATTTTTTACATGGCCTCAATTCAAATTAAAAAAAAAAAAAAAATATCAACCATTTCATAAACTTATATGGAAGTGTCTTGACCTGTCAATTAAATAACAGAAGCACAGATTCTACCCATGTGTGAAAGTGCATGCATAATTCACCTTTGAACTCAATATTTCTTTCTGGAGCGTAGCTGTAGTTCGGCTGGTCCAATTCTGGACCCTCAAAAGTAATCTTGTTCTTGTCATACCATACATGTAATACAAATCAGACTTCTCTCCTGATGAAGAGCTTTCAGCGCTTCTAAAATGGAGCTCCACAATGGATCAGTTTAAGTTCAACAGGGATATGATTACGAAGACATTTTCTAGTGACTAAGAACATTGGACCTTCCCCTTTCTTATTCTGCATCTGCAGAATGATTCTGGGTTAACAGTATGGCTGGCTCACTGCTGTTGAATGAGAATATTCAGGATGAAAGAAGAGCAATTACTGACACTCTAGTACAGTGAACAGAAGAAAGCGTGAATAATTTACCATGTGGGCGTTTTATATGGCAAAAACCTCAGCGCCACAGCTAGCAGACTGTATATTAGATTTCAGTTTTAAAACAAGCTTGGGATCTATGGGATTTGCCTTGAGAGGATATTGTTTGGATGCCGATCTTGACATTTTGTACCACATTTATCGACGACAGCACCAGACAGCACCTTTCCTTACGCTGTATTTACAGGGCCGATTTAGTCTGGCATAACTCAGCTCTGCAAAACCACACAGCTGCCTGACACCAAAGCCAGTGCAGTGCACTGGAAGGGCTGGGAGCAAGTGGTGGGATGTGGAAGGGAGTGACAGACTACGTTCCTGGCAGCACTGAATTTAATATCGTGAAACTGCACCGTGAGAAATATGCACCACCACCTCTGCTGGAGTAGCACTCTGAAACAACCTGAGGTCACTGCAGTTACTTCTCAGTAGGTTCAGCTGTGTTTCAGGTATAGGAGAGGGTCTCCTCTTCTACCACTTCTGCAGTTGCTACGAAATGTCGCCTTGAGAAACACTCTCATAGCTCTCAGTGGAAGGCACACGCAGGCTCAGTGACTGCGTGACCTCTTATGCTAACTGTATTTCTTGTAATAGCGCACCTGCAAAACCCCTAAAGCACTGGGGATACAACTTCACATGTTACTCAGTCTCAGAAGAATGCTTCAGGCTTTCATTGTTACACTTGACGACGTAAGGTAACATTAGTGGACTGACCTCTAACTCTTTCTCATCAAATGTCTTCAGCAGATGTTGTGGGATTACTTCATTAAATCCCTTCTGTAGAGCCAGAAACTGAGCTTCAATTCCTCGTAAAAATCGCCAGTTTACATAAAGTCTGCAAGCAAGTGCAAATTGGTTTTGTGAAAGATGTATTCGAATACAATAAACCTGCAATTCATCCAGCCAAAAAAACGGCTGTACTGACAGGAATAAACACACCGCCAGCATTGCACTGCCACTTAGGAAAAAACCCAACAACATAACACTGTCAATTACTTCAAATAAGTAAAAGTTTCTCCCCACCATAGGAAACATAAAAACCTTTGGAATAGATATTGATGTACCTGACATATTCCTTTTTGTTTTCCTCTGTCACGGGAATACTTTTGCCATTGGGTTTCAGTTCATGTTGAATAATTTCCCCGTATGCATTGTGTTCTACACAAAATGTATGGTCCAACACTCCTGTGATATCATTCTCACTGGTGGAAAGAAATAAGCAAGTGACTCAGTGAAAACATATTCTGCAAATATATTACAGCCATAATATATCTGACAGACATCACAATTTAGTTTTTCAATAGCATTTCAAATTACTGCTTGGAAACAAAAGGCGAACATACATTTTTACTATGTTATATTTTAAAACCATTATCAAAGTTTCAATGTTATATTTTAATAACATGTTACTGTTAATAATAGGCAAAAATTAATAAATTAGAATTTATTAACTGAGCACTTTACAGCTCAGTAATCATTTATCCCCCTCCCTCCCCGCCCTGCAAATTTGAATACCTTGAGCATGTTAAGCCTTTAAAGAAGCTGAGTTGTGTGAGAAAGATGTTTCTTAAATCTGCCTGAGCAGGAGATCAAAATATACTTAATTTCTTTCAACTGGATTTAGGAACATTATCACATGTTAACCGAGACAGAATTCTAACATTGTAAGATACAATACACAGTACATACAGTATCCAGACTAAGCTGTTATGAAGATCAGGGTCAACCAATTCCATATCATCCAAAGTAATTGGCTTCCCTAGCAACTGCTTATAGAAAGGCAACGTGAAGCCCCCATCAATATAGTGTCCGTGAAACACAGCCATCCCCATTATCCGTCCAACAAAATGGAAATATGATAAGTGTTCCTAGAATTGAAAAAAGAGACTAAGCCATTCAGCTAAATAAGACCTCCAGGTTGTATCTGCTGAATACGAAATAAAATTTCAATACAAAGAAAAGACAAAAACCCCCAACATATCCAGAGCTTTTTGTTTTGTTTTGTTTTTATACACAACACATTGAGTATATTGCTTCCAGTCCAGAAGTCTTACTACTAAGAATCAAAATAAACTTAATTTCTCCCAAAGGAAAGATAAATCAACATCTTACAGAAAATTAAGAACACATTTGAGAAGTTTCTTTGATCAATACTGAAAAGAAATTATATTATTGCACAAATTCAGCCTCTAACAATACTAATGTGAGGATTAGGTTCCTGAATCTAGAACACTCTCCACATGTATTTAATTTCTAGTCACAAAATGATCATTTACAGAAGTCATGTCACCAGTCATACCGGGTTGACTGCAGAGTCCGGGTTGATTTGCAGTGTATAGATATCATCTCGGGAATATTGGAAGAGACCATAATACGGATTCAACATTTCATGTGACAATAGGTAGAGCCACTCCCTGAAGAAAATAAAATAATTTATTGTTTACTTTAGACAAATGCATTCCTACACTGAGAATCTTTTCAAAATAGTATGATTTTTTAAATCTTATTGTTAAACATAAATGTGAAGAAAGTTATCTCTGAACATGCTTAGATAAGGCTGAAACCAGAATTATTTTTACTGGCTCACTAACTGCACAGGACCTGACAGCTGATGTACCTCCCAGCTTTCCAAGATTTTTCTCCAGGTTACTTACTTCCAAGATAGTTTCTGACTATGATTCTCCTTCATCCATTACACACTAAGACAAGACACTATGTATTCTATTGACTGTACTACAGAGATGTTCGAGTCAAAACTTTTAATATAAACCATCTTCAGGTAAAGATCTATTGAGTTAAAGTTTTAATTAAATGTTCACAAATCAGTAAACAATGGTCTAAGAATTGGGAAAACTGTAACACTTTCTAGCTTGGTCTTCCTGTATTCATGTATGGAAGATGGCAAAGGCTCCACGGCACACAGACTAGAAACAAAGCCCATGCCGAAAAATATTAGCTGATACTTTGGAAAATAGTGCACAATAACATCTGTAACTTCTTTATTTTAAACACTAATAGTATCATCAAGCAATTAACAGTAATTGATTCAACAAGACTGTTTTACTAGTTATGGCTAATCAGCATGTTAAAATATTTAGGAATGGATGAAGTGAAAACTCTATTGGCCATTTGCAAACTCATGAAGACACATGCAATGTAACAGCCTACGTCCCAGAGGTCACTTGCCATACACCAACTACAGATGCTGAAGATGGGCTGTTTGGGAGCATCGTCTGTAGTTTGAAATGAGTACTAATGGTAAAAAAATGCAATGCAATGCAAACAATGAATACTCCTAAATGAGTCAACACTCATTTAGAGAAAGTAGATCCACATGCCAGAGGTGAGGAATATTTTCGGGGAAGTAAACCAGCATCTGTGCAATTGGCCTACAATTCCTAACAGTTTAAAATGTGAAGAGTATCTTCATACAATCAATAAATGTCACTTTTTATAAGCAACTGAAAAATAACCTCAGACTATTGACAAACTAACTGCTAGTTTTTAACTTTTTGCTTCAAACAGTAGTGATAATTTGCAATGAAGCATATTTTTTATCAAAGTTCTGCCACAAAGCTGAGTATTTAGTGATATAAATTCTCAGATACCCAAGTTTTCTAACCAAAGTATGATAATTTCAATAGATACCAAAAGCCTATCTTGCATATATGACAGACATCTGATGTGATCTGTAACATGCATTTTGATTTATTTACAATAAATTAGTTCTCTTTTGATGCAGTTTTTCCTTTAAAAGACTATCTAAAAATATATTCCTCTGACATACAATCTGTTACAGAAATAAATATAAATAAGAATAATGGAAAAAGAAACAGGGCTGATACAAGGCTCATTTAGGATTCAAAGCACGGGTGTAGTTTGTGGGGTTGGGGTGCAGGGGAAGAGACAGAGGACAGACTGTTTACCTGGCAACACCTCCATAATCAAGGCCTTCCTCCCCACGAAATTTTATCATTAATCGTTTCCACAGGTCTTTTGGCCTCATCTTCATGACTTGCCTGTAGGATTCCTGTAAACACATAACACTTTCTTTTATTAACCGCTATTTACAGACAAGAAGCTACTACTGTTTATTAGAAATGGAGTCTCGAAGACTCCAAGTCCAAAGGGGATACTATTAAAAGGGATACTGTTTTCCTAGATATTAACCACTGTTTCTCAGTGGTAAGACTGTTACTCAGTTTTCTACAAATGTGATAGCACTTGTCAAATAAAACAGATACGTGAGAAGAACCACCTTCCGTTAAATTTCCAGAGGCATACAGCGATCAGAATATTCTCTCTCTCATTCTCATATAACTTAAAAAAAAAAAATCGTCTGTGTCATTAAACTCCTTTTGTTTTGCATAAAGGCTCACAATTTTTGCAGTCTGAAAAGCCAAAAGTGGAGCTTCTACTCTGGGTATAACACGCGGAAACCTTCAGGAAGCATCTTAAGAACAGAAGCATCAATGCCATCCCAGTAAATGTACAGAACTATTTCTCTATCAGTAAGACTTCACCAAGAAAACACAAAAAGAAAGCTGAAAGAGGCAAAACAAATGCTATTTTTTTTAAAAGGAATAAAACAAAAATGTCTAGTTTTTATTTATGTCCAGTATCGGTGCCCCAATCTTTGGCTTTGCAGAACAGAAGAGGTAGGTGTGTCTGGGACCCAACATACTCAGCTTAGTTTTCAGAACAAGAACGTAATTTTCACTGCTGTACAGCAGCCTTTCCTCCCTTTCTTTTTTAGTTGATTATGAAGTGATTTGACTGTCTCCAAAGGGAAGACCAACACAAATCTTTCTTGGCTGGAAAAACTGTGACAACACAGTGGGGCTATCAAGTTTGTGGGTGGGGTAAAAATGCAACAGGGATGGGTGGGATGGGTGATAAAGTTCTTAAGAAGACAGACTGTTCTGCAGAAAAAGCCAATGAATTATATAACTGCATTTAATCAATTCAGCGGAATTATTCTGCTGAATAATGTCACAAAATAAAATGCAGACATCCCACTGTCGGCATCTCTGGTCATGGATAAGCCTAGACAATTCATAAAATTGGTCTGATTCTGAAAAAAAAAAAAGAAGAAAAAAATCAACCAGAATTGAGATAGATGCCAGGTAATCCAAACTCCAAAGATGAATGCTGTTCAGTAGTAATTTTACTTAAGTTACAATAGATCAAAGATAATGAATAATTGTTTGGTTTTCAATTTGTAACATTCCCTCTGTAACAGACATTAGCGTTCTTATATTCAATGAAGAAGTGAGACAATATCTTCAAATACATGAAGTGCTTGGACTCCTTCCTCAGTCCCTGACACAGTCTGTACATCTCCAGCGGCAAGGAACGCTTCCCTCATTTTTATTCTTCTTTACAGGGTAAAGACATCTACTTTAAGTTCACAACTGTTCTTAACATCCCCTTGAAATGCTTCCTCTTCCCATTCGCCATGCGTAAAATTCCAGACTTCAAGATTCCATAGAACTCAATGACTTCTTTAGACAGTTATGAACAACCCTCCTCCCCTTCCCTCAGTGTTAAGAAATGGGTCAAATTCTCAAGTTACCTCAAAAATCTCTTCCCTGGAGACCTCAATACGACAATGGCCAGCTTGAGGTTGCTGCTGTGACAGCTCTTGCCTCAGGATCTTGCGTTTCTGCACTAGGTCTCGCTTGTACCTTGGCACAGTCAGACACTCTGCCTCATCTGGAAGCTGACACAGGGACACTACCTGCTGCTGCTGCTGGTGTTGCTGGTCTTTAAGTTGATTCTGGCGGCTAGAAACAAACACAGCTGTTTGCAGATATTCAAGTCACACATCCCCTATTTTCTTCAGATGTTTCTTAAAGGTTAAGTCTTTGTAACTAAACTACTTTCAATTTACTATGATTATTACTGTGATTACGCTAAAAATGTCCAGGTCCAGTAAAAAACAAATTCAGAGAGATTTTATCCTGACTAAAGACATATGCTTCTGTCTTTCTTGGCAACTATCAGTTGTTTTTAGGGTTTGTTATTTCTATTAGTACTACTCTGCAAAGTATGTAAAAGGTTATAGCACTATATAATAAGGTATTATCCATACAATTTTACTACTAAGCTGCTGACACTGAATTTCTCAGATACCATTTCCATATTTCCTTTGCGTGTTTTGCCTTCCTCCATTTTAAAATTCAGGGATCTGCCAAACACTATGCCTCTAATCTACAGTCAATACCATAGCCTGTTTTAAATGGCTTGTCTGAAAAAGAGTAAGCTTACAAAAAGATGTTTGTACTGGCAGCTTGGCAAGGACCTTGTCCCTTGTACCTGGCCTAGTCTGGACCACAGGAATGTGGGAGTTCACATGTAACTAATTGGCACAGATAAACAAGTATTTTTACTAGCAATTCTAAGAGATTTTCTAAATCTAACTTCTTACTAGCAAAACTAAATTAATCGTGTTGCAGAGATGTCCTCTCTTGTGTCATTTCTTGTACACAGTAAGTGGGTATTTTTATAGCTTTTTAGTATGGCATTTCCAAACAACTCAGGATAAAAGTAATATTTTACCTAAACCATGAGAAGAGAATCTCTGTGTGGAACACAAGAGAATACCCTAAGTTTACTGGATAAATAAGAAAGGTTACAATTCAGAATGTTTTCCAGTGGAATGTTAGTAAATTGGAGTTTTTTTCAACATCAAAGACCAAAAAATATTAGATGGAACCAAACACAGTTTTAACGTATTTTAAAATTGCAGTCTGTTGTCTGTTTTGAAACAAGGTCTTCTAGAAGGCTGTCCCGGCCAACCAAAATTCACCTCCAGCAGGCTTTTACCACAGGAACATTCAGAATTGGCAATTAAAAAAGGGGTGGGGGTGTTCCCAGTTTGCCTTGTGGTTCTGACAGCTATTCTGTTATTTGCAAATGTTCTATTTAAAGCAATTTTGCACAAACCCCCCTCAAGGGAAACTTAACACCAGGTGACCAGGAAATCTTTATCAGGACTCTTACAAGCCTAACATTTAGAAACCCCTGCAATGGCACACATTGTAGATCACTTCAGCGGTAACTCAAAGCTTAATATTAATATTAATAACTCTTTACTCCTGGGCTCTACGGAGGGAATAATACACAGAAATCCTACTTTGTTACTCTGCCCCAGGATGCAGAACTTCAAAAGTTAGCTTAATCGATTTCGTTAGTTTCACAGTGTTTTGTTGTTTGCTTCTGTTGTGTTTTTTGGTTTGGTTTTTTTTTGTTTTTTTTTTTTTTTAAATAAGGCTACCCTTAACCTTATTCTCAAGCTGATCACATTGGTCTTACAATAAACTACAGTTATTTTAAGTCATTCCTGAGAAACCAAGTCATTACAATAATTTAGACACACACTCGATGTGGTTCCAGAATATGTCTCTGTATCATTTGTGCTACATGCATGGTACTTTCTTTTCACTTGTGATTAGTTTTAAATGTGAATCTCACTTCAACTGTATTTACTTGATATACAACCTAAAGCAAAATCATTGTTCTATCTTCTGAACCTTCTAATTCCATACAGATGAGCATGTGAAAATATTCCTTGTATATGCCTACCAGAGAAGGTCATAATTATATACTGAAGTGAGCATATGTTCATACTACCTTTAAGAGTAGAAAACACACAGTCCTCTAAACACAAAGCTAGTCAATGTCAGCCTTAAAAAAAAAGTGATCTCTGAAATGAGCATGACTTTAAGATCTAACCAATCTAAAATAGGGCAGTACTAGGAGGAGAAAAATAAAATGCCATCCTCCATATTAGACTAAAAATAATCAGTGCAGTATTAGCTAAAAAATCTGCAGTGCTTAAAGTAATTAAATCTAATTTCTTAGTTTGTTTTCACAGCTGAATGTCTATGCTTGATTCTGTACAGTGCTTTAAGGATATAGTTAGGTATTTTTCAGGTGCCATAACTATCAAAACCTATCACGAAATCTTGGCCAATATTTTAAAACAGATCTGGGTAACAAGTTTGATTATTTTCATAACTTACATTGTCATCACTAGAAGAACAAACTGCTTTACTCAGCTCGATAGAAAAATCAGTATCATTGAGAGTAAACTTTTTATTATGCCTTTGAACCTAAAACACTATCACACCCATCCCACCCAAATACTAAACTTATTTCTCAGATAATTTACAAAATGACAGGCCTAAGGCAAACTAATTTTTTTTTTTTTTTAAAAAGAATAAATAAGGAGGTGGGTTTAAGGTGGGGGGGAGCTTTCACATATCCTGTTTGGTGCAATAAAAGAATAAACACCAGAAAAGATTTATCAGGCAGCAGACTTTGCTGATGACACTGTTGGTTGAATTTCTGAAATCCTTCCCTAATGAAAGACAGATGTACAAATGAAAAACTTAGGCACACTGTAGTAGTACTTAAGTTTAAAGAAATGCAAAATGGTTCTGTGATTCTGGAACTTGAAAGTCAAAGTGGATTTTCCAGATAAAAAGCTAGCTATGTATCTGTCCTCCACAATACATGTAGAACTAGCCACTATGACCCTACTGCCATTTAAAAATAAACCTACCTGTGAAGGACAGTTTTTCAAATATAGTCCAGTTAACTGAATTTTCTACAGTTTAAAAATCGCACTGTTGTAGCTAAGAGGGTCTGAAGTTTTTCTTCGGGCAAAATACCTAAATCTGAATTAATTTAATGAACTTTTTTGTGTACCAAACACGAACATGCTCCTCCACTGGTAAGTTTTTTTCAAGACCATGTTCGTTTGAAACTACCAATCTAAATTCAGCTAAAATTAGTAGTGATTTCTTTGTTTTAAATTAAAAAAAAAAAAAACCCAAAAGTGTCTGGATGATGGGAGCTTGCTAAAGTTCTGTAATATACACGTATATAACCAATGATTTCTCTAAACAAAATACCTATCTGTCAATATTTAGACTCTTGTCCCTCTTGGGGTGTTAAGTTCAAATGTATGTTGGGCAGACAAAGGCCAGCCAGCTTTTATGTATCACACAAAAGATATGTTGACCTCCTGGATATTACTTTCCATTCCTCGGTTTTGTCTCTTTAGTGCTTGTTCCCATTATTCTTTCCTTCAGCTTTTCTTCCCAATGATTCACTTCCTTAAGAAGACTATTCCTCCTACTTACTCCTTGCCCAGGGCTGCATGGCTTTCTATCTAACCAACTCTTCATTGTTTCTTCCACTTAACACCTACTCAATACTTCACAGGTGTTTCCCAAGAGTATTGAAAGGTTGTTAGTAGGAGAAACAATAGAGTCAAACTCCCAAATAGCTTGGACAAACTGATAGCCACGTCTACGCAAAAAAAGAAGTGTTTGTTTGCTTTTTGGTTTCCATTTTTATTAGAAAATCTCCCAGTGTGAAATGAGTGCTTAGGGAATAAAACCAAGAGCCAGAATCCTTTTGAGTTTCCCCTTCTCTTTTTGAAAGTGCAATATGAAAATGTGGTATCAGAACTAAGGCAGAAAAAATGCAGTTCCTATTTTATTTTATTCTTTTGGTAAAAAACCTGAGTTAAATTATTGGGGTGTTATTTTTAGAACATCTCAACTAGCCTTACTCTAAAACTGAAGATAGGAGCTGAATTCTCCTTTATTCCAGGAGAATAGCTGGGTGCTTGCGCACCCTTGCTTAACCCATCAGTATTTCATACCACTGGCTATTGAATGCAACCTCATATTTTAAAACAAGTAGTCCACAACTGAAAATAGTATGATGTATAAAGAAAAGGAAAGAAAGTGTCTCTCTTGCTGTTCGAAAAAATTTTATGGGCCAATTTTTTTCACTGGACAGCACTTGCCTCCCCCCCTGCTGCCCCCAACTCCCAGCATCACAATAGCCACATTCCTGCCTAAATGCTGCTAGAGATTTTTTTTTCAAGAACAATCAAACCTGTCTTCTTTGCTATGCAACAGAGTTGGTAGTGTGTTATAGAACACCACTGCTATACTTTAAATACTACTGAATGGCAGAATACATCTTGATACAAAATCTAGTACCCCTCAAGAGTCACTTTCTTTCCTCTATTACACTCAACATGTGCCAGAGACTTTAGACTTACTTTAAGACTAAATGCAAGTTAGCAGATAGCCGTGGATCTGTAAACTGCGTTGTCCTGTTGTTATGGTCAACAAAATAAACTCTGCCTGTTGCTGTATTTCGGATCTCCCATCCAGGAGGCAGTGGACCAAGCTCTTCACAATTGATGTTGCTAAGATCCCTGTGAAAACAAATATAAAATGAAAAATACCTCAGCATTTGGCCTCCGAGCCAAATAAGCGTAAATGTAACAGAACAATTCCATGAAGTCTGAGAAAATGTATTGTTTCAGAAACTTGATCTCTTCAGCTGGAATCTCTACTCCCAAGGTGCAAGCCCACCAAAGAAAAAACACACACCCCAGAACACATGCTGTGGAGAAAAAAATTCTTATCAAATAACCTTCATTTTTACAAACTAACTTCAGATGTTAAATTAATACAGGCTTAAAACAAAAATAAAGACCATTGCCATATTTGCCAAAATGGAATTGCAGTTCTACACTAATTCTGACAGAAAACATTTTTAAAACATTAGTCACAAAAGGAACTCTGAATCACACTTTAAAAACTCGTACAAAACAAAACTGTATTTCTAAGAGTTATACTTTCCATGAAGAATTACGCATGGGTTATGTGCGTATCCCACAGGTGGTTTTGCCCCCAAACCCCAGGTGCTAGTGGGAACCAAACAGCTTTCTAACAAAATACTTCAAATTGAATTTTGTATGAACAATGACTCAGCTCTGCACTGAGCAATGTAGAGATAACTTAACGGGTCTCAAGAAAATACTGCTGAAATTAGGAAGATGTAGATTCATTAGATTCATTCCGGAGGTTCACTGAAAACAAATACTAGTCTTCAAAAATGTACACTTACTGATTTTTCATGCATGTAATTCACACCTCAGATACCTCACACTGTCAAGTGCAGCTCTTTTTAAAGGTATAAGTCTTCAGATCTCCCAGTATGATGTGAGTTGAGGGGAGGAAAGAGCCGAGGGGCGGAATGGCTAAAAAGATGCCGTCTGCAGGGACTCAAAAGCCTGAGAAGCCACTAATGGAAATACAAGGCTCTGGGATTGAACTTCTGCTATTATTACCCATACACACACTGCTGCTGAACTGTAGGGCTTATTTTTATTAACTAAATTACTGTGGCATATTAGTGTAAAATACATTATTCCTTAGAAATGACATAAACTCTATCCTCATGCAAACAGCCAAATTTTGTTCTCAGTTTCTGTTGCCACACCTCAGAGCAGTGCTAACTTAGATTTTGTACAAAACTATAACACTGCAAACTTAAGGATTAGATCTTAATATAGTTTTTTTTTAAAGAGGTCTAGTTTCTAGCTTTGTATAATACCCACGTCATGGGAGCAAAGACTTCCTAATGCACAACTGCCAGCTTTATCCCACTCTCAAGTACACAGATAATGCATCAAAGCAAAGTATATTCTTGTAACACAAGAGTAGTAATAAAAACAAAAGAATCATTCGAAAATGCAGTGAACATAAGGCCATGAGGCACTTTGTCCTTCCCGGGATATCCAAAATCCATTTCCATGTGAATGAACACCAGCAGCAACCGACAAAGTTGCTACAATTCTCATAAATGCCAATACTGGCTGCCAATTTCAAACTACACATACTATTTTACAACACCATCCACAGGCTCTAGGAGGCAATCATTTTCAACAGGATTTCTTGGTTTTTTAAAGAACAATCAGAAGCTAACAATAATTTCCCTGTTATCCTCCTTTCCTTTCAAACACATCAGAAATAATCACATGTACAATCGTATACAATATGTACACGTGTGTATCATAAATACACTAAACTAAAAGGACACTTCATATTTATTTTCTCATAAGCATTGAGATAGCCGCAACAGAAACAGCAGTTTGAGTATTTTAATCACAGGTCAGTCTCTCTCAGCTTCTCTACCTGTTTGCCCCCCTCCCCCAAATTCTTTCCCATTTATATGCTGCTAATGAGATGCCTGAAAGCATATATGATTGCTCCAGGAATATCCCTGTTAAAGCATTATAAAGAAAATAAATATTCATTTCTGCTCTGTAACAGGAAACCTGCTGTAAAAAAGCTTGTGCATTTTTAGATGTTTGCTACTGCATTTTTAGATGTTTGCTACTATACTCAAATGGAAAAAACCTCCTTTTTTTTTTCTTCTTCTTCTTCCTTTTTTTAAAAAGGCCCAACATCCTGGCACTTCAAACACAGCTCACCATTTCAGCTTCCAGGCTTTTTATGACCCAGCGTCTCCAATTAATTTCTTCAAAATGTACCGAGTTTCCCATTCCTTGAGTAAATTACGTTTGGTAGTCTGAACATGGGACAATAATTCTCACAGACAAGTAAATTTAAGCTAATTCGATGATGAGACTGTAGTTCACTACAAATAGTGTGACTAAACACACAAGGGGCATCCACTAGGTTTTCCAGGTTTTCCCCTTTGTCTGCTCCTCCATCAAAAATGATCACATTTATCTAGCCTATTTGTCACAAAGTTTGTTCTTCATAAATATGTGTTGCCCATTTCTCAGGTCTTGTTAACTTCCAGAGCCTGAATTAAAAAACAAAACCAATCCAGTTTTCACTGAAGTATCTCGATAAATCTAGATTTTTGGAAGTGCTCAGAACCCTCTTTTTGTTTCATTATTTTGCAGAGTATTAAAACCTGGACTTCGCGATAATTCATATGCAAGATCTAGAATCAGTTAACTATACCTGTTTTCAAAACACCACTGTAATTTATTTCTTGATTCTCCACCTTTGCATTAAAATAACAATTTGAAGAACTGAGGAAGAGAGACTAATGTATTTTGATAAATGACTTGTTAAAATGATATATTAGGGACGAAGAGTCAGAATATAACAGCAGACAGAGAATTCTGAGAACAGTACTGGTTAAACTATTTTGATTTGACACCTTAAGGATACTTTCATCATTTTCTTACCTAGGTACTCTTGGATCGTGCCACGTGCTAACACCAGTCTGAGTATGCAGAAAATAGACCTGACCTTGCTGAGTCGTCCTTTGCTCTGTGAAATCAAGATTAATTAATAACTATAAGAATAAAACATGCAAGTAAAAAAAACCTCACAAAGACTGATTTCCCCAAACTAAGGAATCAAAAGGATCTTACATACGACGAAAAGACACAACCCATTTTCCTAATTTGTTGGGAGACCTACAATTTAAAAAATTTAATTTGCATACCATATCCTTCAGGTAAATCGGGAGGAGTGTGCAAGTGTGTCCTGCTCATGTAATTTCTGTGCCTCTGTGACCTGACTCTCCTCTCCGCCAGCCGGGGATCCGAAGACTGCCCGCAGGTCGCACCGTTCGTTCCTGTAATTGGAGTGTTCTCGTCCACAAAACAGCTCAGCGGTCTGCCTGGACTGGAGTATTCAGATGCTGGCCTGTGGGGAAACACGTGAGAATTGCATTGCTGACTGGACACAGGGCGACACAACGCGCTTTACGGAAGCTTCATCTAGGGGTTCTCGGGAATTCTTTGTGGACAGCAGAACTGAGCAGTTGAGTTGAGCAGGATACCTCAACGATGGGCAGAAAGCTTCTGTTCTGCGCTCAGTGGGTTCATCCCAGGGTAATTAGTAAACCTCCTCACCTATCTTAGGGTCTGACCTGGTACTTAGTATATGATGCTGCAGGATCAAGATCATATCAAATGCTCACATGAGCAGTTCCCACCCTAAACAGAGTGCTGAGAGCAAAAAAATTTTTTTTTCTTTTTTTTTTTTTTTTTAAGAAAATGAGCAGCATACAGCCCAAACTTTCTCACCTTGTCTTCATGTGGCTAAGGAAGTGATCAGCCCTTGTTACTCCTTTTAATTTTTAAGGAAGGTTATTAGGCGAGGATGGTGAAAAAGGGCTAAGAAAGATAAAAAATAGTTGCTCTTGAGAGCCTGACTGCAAGAGGAAACATTAAATTATGTGGTTTTGTATCTCAATGCTGCTTTCAAAAGGATTTAAAATGGGTTCAAGGAGGATTGATAAGGATGCAGGAATCCTCAAAACAAATTATATATTTTGCATTTGTTTTTCTACTGTAAATGTGTCTAGAGCTTAGAATAGGTATTTTAACATACCAGGAAAAATACAAATAGATAAATTAAAAAAGCGTTCAGTACCTTCACTCGCTTGAAAACCACAAGTATGTATCAGAGCCGGCAGTGTTAACAGTACAGGTTATTTTAAGTCAAATATATCCATACAGAGACTAGAATAATATTTATTGAGGATGGAAGAGACAGTCTGCAGGCACAGACGGTCTGCAGAAGAGTCTGAAAAATATGTGCTGACACTATCTACAACTGAAGTAACAGCAAAACTGGTTTAAGGAACAGCTTTGCAACACCCATCTACAGTTATTAGAAAAGGTGATTGTAATCATTTCGAAACATGCTCTGTAACGATCAGCTTTAAAAGTTCTGGATTATATGGTCATAGCATATATACATAGATAATGTCTGTCAGCTATTCATGATTTCTTTTCTTCATTCCTTACGATGTCTGCACATTGTAATGTCTGTAGTTATAGAGTTCTACCATAGCAGCTCTACAAGAAAACAAAGATGCTAGTATTAGGCAAGGATGATTCTTCTGAGTTAAATATTAGGCAGACTGAAGGAGTAGGATGTTAAGAGTAGAAAAGCATACAGCGTTTGTAGAGTGACTCAGAGGAATGCTGAATATCCCCTGTTAGAGCCACTTAGAATCGCTTGTGCTCAGCACCCCTGAGCAGCAAGCAAACTTCATCATATGCAGAGTCGCCCAAATAATTTCTTACCGTGTTGGTCGCTCCCACTGAGTTGTTCGTGTAATATGATTTAAATACTGGATCCTTCCAGAAGCGGTCCTCCGCTCCTCCCACCTAGAATTCAGACATTGAGAGATAAGGCAATGAGTAGTATTTCCAGGAAACCAGGGCACAAAATGTTTCCAACATAAATGCCAACTCAGGAAGACTTACACTATTATGAATCATGTTAGCTGAACAAGGTAACAGGAAACAACTGAAAGTTCAACTCAAAATTGATTTTACATATTCTTCCCTTGGAACCAGGCATATCATTACCAATATCACACCTTCATGTTCAATAACTATTTGAATTCTAATTAAATCCAAATAGCCATATAAAGAAACTTCTTGAAAACACCATGTTTAATAATGCATTTAACTTTTTTTGACCACTGGTCCTAGTAAGTGCTTTCATAGTATCTTCACGCACTACTTGCTTTCATTAAAAAGTCACCTTCAAATAACATGACTTTTTAATTATTACTATTTTTGCACTCCAAAATACATGAGGCTATACAGATAGCTTTGCAGTTACACAATTAAGTAAGCAATATTTATACAAGGAATATTTTGAAGTGAAAATTTAAAAGCATTTTCAAAAATGTTTTTGACTTCTCCAGACTCCAAATTAACAAAAGAATGCTGTTTAGGACTTAGATGATAATTTACGTTTTAAAATTCATCATCTGAAAAATCAGTTTCTTCTGTCTTTACCTGCCAAGAATCACATTCAGAAGGTCTGTGTTTGCTCTGAAAAAGTTGATGACAGCACCAGAACCTAAAACAGAGCATTTTTCTGTATTCGCAAAACTGTTTTAGGTGTCAATGATGTCATTAACTCTCACAGGGACAAATCAAAATCCTAAACCCAGCCTTTGGCAGGTAAATACAGCAAGAACTCCGGCTCCATTACCTTTTCCAATCACATTTTCTTCACTATGATTTACATGGAAGAAAAAGTGATCCGTTTTTATAATAGTGTATACCTCCACACAGCGCTGCAGAAGACAGCCAGCCCTGTGTGTTCACTACCTTGTTACAAAACTACTATATGGATGAAGTCAGTTTGCTGGCTGTGATTTAACATTTATCAGTTCTATAATTTAAAAGACATATGTTCTCTTAGACAAGTATATTTTTTAATGCATTTATTCATATATGCCACCTCCCGTTTTCCAAGAAGAGACAAGACAAGGATCAAACTATTAACTAGTCTGTGTAGCCTGGCTGGCTTATCTCCTGCTCCTAAATTCAAAACCGTAGAACTCTGAGTGTGAGAATAAAAATAAATTAACCTATTTGTACACTGACTTCTCATCACTGCAAAAGTCTGTTGTATGCGCTGTATTTGTATTTACACCACAGTGATGTCAGCTTACCCATCTGGTAAATCATTATCAAATAACCGACTGCAATCCACAACTTGTCCTCCTGTGCCTATTCGGTCTCTGGACTGAAGACTTACTATTAAGATAATAAAAGAATTATTAAAGATATGACATCTGAATGCAAATTACAGTTATATTTGAAAGAGAAATGGTACAACTTGGAGGACTAAGCTGCATGTTCTGGATATTTTTTCCCTTCCCACAGATCAAAGAAAGTTATACAGAAACAGTGTATGTTTTCATACATATAATTCTCTACATGTTACTTCAAAAAAGCTAGCCTGAAGAATAGGAATGCAAGTTAAGGCAGAAAAAGAAGTTAACTCGGAAGCTGTTATTAACTTTTCTCCGTATGAGACAGACTGTGACACAGCAGAGCCGCGTGGCTCGTCTGGCGGCAGCAGGGTGGCTAACCTCACACACGGCTGGAAGAGCAAGCGGACAGTGCCAGCGCCAGGCTTGTGCTGCTAACGGGAGAACTGCTAATAGAAGGACCTAAAATAAGAAATTCCTGTATGTTTTTGACTCCTTCTTATGTATTTTGTGTGCACGTGGGATTCAACACACGCGTGAACACGCACACACACACAAAACCAGGCAAAACTTAACTGCTAGAAGCACTACGCGTTTGGTTTACTGGCTACTTTCAGACACCGGTGGTAAGAAGTTAAATGCAACTCTCACACAAGGCAGTGCTCAGCACCCTGAAAAGCCCTTACAGCCCTCAGCAAAACTGTATTACTTTTTCTTATTTAATTTATTTTTATTTTTTACATGTTTCACTCTAATGGATATTTATGCCTGAAGCTTTTGTACTACAATTATGAAAGCAAAGATTTTTTTGGGCAGCTTTTGTTCCCAGTATCATAATTTGCAAGTGTCCAATCTGATAATTTATGACACTTGTGTTCCTGTGGGGTTGGAGGGGTTTTTTTTGATGTTTTGTTTTGCCTTTAACAATAAAACGATTACTTAAAAAGCTAGATACGTGCCGTGGCACACATTTCTTGAGGTGGCACTACTGTACCTCTGGACAATTGTCTTCAAGTCCCATGAAGTGAAATAAACTTACAGACCTTAATCGAGACACAACCAAACTTTTGTCAACATCACCAAGTTACAAAAATATGTAGTAGTACTGGCAATTTTTGCCAGAGTCCAAGTTTTCAACAACAACAGGTTTTGAAACTTAGGATTTTGGGCCTTCAACAGACCAACCCACGGAGCCCTGCAGCACCTGCTTGCTTTATTCCTAATCAATATTAACTCCTAGTCTTCCATGAACACTAACGTTACAAAGCAACTTCTTACAGCGAAAGACACCTTAAATTTAATTTCAACCAAAACAAAAATTGTAGATGATCTACTTATTCTGCAACAAACCCACACATTACAAGTTCACATTGTTGCATGTAGCCAAGGTTCGGCAAGCAATACACACAGACAAAAATGAAACTAAACAAAGGCAATTACCTCCTCTTTGCCTACGTGAGGACCAAAATTTGTGCACGGCTTCATTTTGTAATGAGTAAGGACTCATTTTTTCTGCACCGCCACATCAGAAATAAAATGGTGGCACAGAAGAGAGCTGCAAGATTAAGACACAGTTCAGGTGCCCTTTGCATCCACTACTCACAAGCGTCCCCTTTTCTTCCCCCCTTTGACGATAACCCCAGGTATTTAAGATAAAGATCCCCTTGCTCCCTGTCCCAAATTATAAAGACATACCCCCTGTGCACTTGATTTGTAAGGTTATCATCTGCTGACAGTATCAATTACATTTTAATATTGTTTTCCAATCTTGCATAGCCTCTTAATTTAAGCCAGTTTATCATTAGAAGGACTGAGAGTATATTTATAACTTATTCTATCTTCTTACTTATTTTTAACCACGATTTTTCCACCATGTAACTACTGCAGCAGAATTATCTAGTTTTATTCAGGCTTATTCACCCATACATCAAAATTGCATTAGCGAAGAAAGATTAAAATATAAGGAGATTAATAACGACAATTTCAATTAAAAAAAGACAGGAGTCTCTGGAATCTTACCAAGGATGCATGAAATTAAAACACAGCCATGACAGGAAACCTGACCTTTCTGATGATAACAGCGCAAAGCAGAACATACAGATTTGTTCTCAGTCTCCACTGTAACATGACAAGCTGTGTTTTTTCTAGGTTCAACGCACGATCCAGCAGCTCCTGCTAATTAGGGACAGCCCCAGCCAAAAGAGTTAATGCTGCTTTGGCTATACCACTTTTCATGATCATATCAGGTTAAGCCAACTGGTCAGTCTAGTTTATGGCCACACTGCTGACTAGTTATCTCTGACAACTAGTTATCTCTGAAGTGTATATTTGCCATGCCCACACTCCACGGTATTTGCCCCAGGCTTCCCATCTGGCATCCCAACAGCCTTAAGACCTTTCTGCTTTGGGGGGGGGGTTTGGGGTTTTTTTTTTTTTGCTTGTTTAATTAATGCTAGCATTCTCAAGTCATGATGACAAGGAGCATACTCTGGAGGGCAGCATGAGAGCATGTCACGGTGTGAGAGTACAGTCGCTGCTAGTGTCATGTCTGAAGGACTGCTGTAGGCAGAGTGGATCTCTGCTGCCTGCAGCAGACCCTGAACAAGCTCTCCTGTCAGCTGAGCTCAGTTTCCTCTTAAAAGGAACCCCACAAACAAAATCGCATGCATACAGCATGGATGATCAGGGGACCAGTATACTGCAGCAAAACCAAAAAGCAAACAAAACCGGCAACATAACGCACCCCAGAAAAATGACTGGTTTATCTTTCACTCTTCTGAGCAGGCTCACATGGAAAATTTAATATTCAAGAATGGCCTGAAGTGTTAGCAATGCGCTTAGAACTCTACATTTCTACCATCATTTGACTCTCCTGTGCCACCTCACTCTTAATACTGTGCAAACACTTGCAGATCAGATGCTAGACAGATGGTTAAAGCAACATAAAGAGGCAAAGTCATAGGTATTATTCAACAGAGCACTTCGAGGAAAGCAAACAAATGCACTGAAGCCCTTATTTGCTGACTGATATTTCAGTAGTTTTCCCTGGCTAACAAAACAAGAATGCTGCTTGGATACTATTTGAACTGGGAATTGAACATAAAACTGAGCATGCAAATTCACTTTTCTTTCCCTCATGTCCAAATATTCTCATTAACATCTTGCCATAAAAATAAAGACCTCCTTATCCTGACCAACTTTTTTCTGACATCTTGAGTGACCTACTAGAAATGCTGCCTTCTGAAACAATTTAAATTGTTTGCATTTAAATGCAAAAAGAGAGTGCTTATGCACCAAAAAGAGAGTGTTTATGAAGTTGTTTGTGGATACTTGTTTTTCAATTTGCCAGCTTCTTTTTAATTATTACGTTATTTAAGGTTTATGAGTTAGCAGAGTGACAAAGCACAGTTACCAAGATGGGTGACAGACTTGTTAATAACCTGTGAAAACACAAAATGAATTGACCAAGTCATCCCAGACAGCAACTCACTCCTGTTACAGCAAGATGTTTCACCCTTTTGCAAAACCTACAGGAAGCACAGCTTTGCTGGAACTCCCAATGGCCAAGAAATTTGTAGTCAGTTTTTCACAGGGAGTTCAGGCTCAAACTGTAGCCATTCTTCACAGTGAAATTAAAAACTTTCTAAATAAATTTAATATTATCTATGGTCTTATTGGTCCCAACACTTATAATAATATTTGGGGTGTTTTGTTTGGGGTTTTTTTGGGGTGGTTTGGGTGTTTTGTTTTGTTGTTTGTCTTTGTTTTAATTCTCTACATACACACTTCTAGCTTGAGGTCCAAATGGCTCTGGCACTAGACCCCTCTAGGAAGGGTATTTCTATAGCTACTATTAAGCTCCAAGAGAACTAAAAGATAAAACCCTTACTTACCTACTATCTGTCCTCTAACAGTATCATTGTCATTTGGCCCAAGCTTGCACAGATCCAATCTCTGATCTACGAAACAAGGACACAAAGTGTAAGTCATACAGTATTTTACGGCCTTTGAAAGGCACACTGAAGTACCATCAAAACAAAATTCAGCCTAGTGCAAGATAGCTAAGACTTCAAGAGATGGGGGAAGGGAAGCAAAACTAAAAATCTTCAGCCATGAAGTAAAAAGACTTCATTTTTCATAATTTTAAATCAGAAAACTAGAGTATAGTACTTTTGCTTTAACATTTTTCCTACTTCACAAAGCTCTTTTGATGAATAGGAAAAGACATTCTCCTAGATTGGATGTCTAAAATGATTGTAAGAGATATTTTGAATTCTCTTCCCTTGTGAAGACCAGCTATTGTCATAATGCGTGAAGACCAGCTGTTGTCATAATGCACTTCCAGTTCAACACTATATTAGTACAGCACAGAGCTAACCTGCAGCATCAATCCATGAGTTCCGCACTAAATAGGTAGAACTTCATAAAACTGAGCAAAACGCAATGCACTGAAGCACTGATCTAGTGACAAATATTTAAAAATGAGAACTTCAGTTATGCCTTTATCGCCAAGGAACCTGTTATTGAAGGTAAACTCACAATGCTTCTCTACCAGCATATCACTTTTTTCTTTTTTCCTGTTTTTTTTAAATTATCTGTATAGCCAAGCACTACTTTTCCCATCACAAACAGTGCGCCAAATTTTGTTCAGAAGTAAATGGCACCCATTAGGATAATGAGAAAACAGCATCTTATGTGTTAATTAACTTTTCAAAAAGTAAATATGAAGTGCTCGAAGTGTTATAAAGCACTTAATATCTTATGACAAAATTTACTGATTGATTTTGAAGGCCCATTAATTTTTAAACTACAAATTTGGCTTCAAGATAGATTTACCTTTTTGTTTACCCCTTAAGACTTGCATTTTTGAAGGTAATAAAAAAATAATTTGAAGGTAATTAAGAGTCTGTCTTCCTTTGGAATTCCAACACAGTGAGTTCAGTCTTGACAATCCACTACCAGGCTGCGGCACTGAAGTTACCACTGTCTATGGCAACAGGCAAAGGAGTTGAAAAGCCAAAGGTAAGTTACATTCTCTAACCTACTCGTGGTATCCTCAGCCACAAAACACCGTTACAAACTACCAAACCTATTGGAATATACAAGCTTTATAAAAACCAACAAAACCCCAATTAACTGTCACACTTCAAAAGTCTGTGCATGAAAGTTTAGTCTGAAAGAGAAGAAACTCTAGTCTTTAGCTTACTTACAACCAGTGTCTTTAAGGCGGTTGATTGCGTTTGAAAGAAGTCTCACACAACCCAGAAAACCAGCTCCCTGCTTTTTATGAATTTTCTTGTGATTCCACACACTGATTGTTATTGAATCTGACTTCCCAATATATCTGAAAAACGCGGAAAAACAGTACTGTGAATGGCACTTACTGAATACTTTGAAGATACTCCAGAAATCATCTTGGGGAAAAAAAAGATTATCAACCATTACATTAAAAGCTTAACACACACTGTATCGGCAAGAGAGAGTAAGTCATCTTCAGAGAAGATGGACACATTATACTTTAATGAAAGCATGTCTTATGAAGGAGTTTACTTGAATACAAACTAATCTAAAATCCTGATTCTAGAAGGCGGCATTCATGTGAATCCAAAGTCTACTGAAATCTGTTTAAAACAGTAACATGAACAGCCTGTGGGCTGGCCCGGTGACCACATCTTTTCAAGCAGCTACAAACATGCTCAGATTCATGCCTATGCCCAGCCTAACCAAAGAGAACGGCAATGCTCGTGGCAGCACATGTTTGTGAGCAGCACCAGCAGGCAGAGCCGTCCAGATGCCAGGACAGAAACTATCAGTTTAGCATCCTTTTGCAGCACTTCATCTGCCGCTGCTTTTCAGGCTACTCTTCCCACCACCGGCGACGCAAGTCACCCTCACTTAGACCTCTTCTGAGCGCTCAGGGAAAATATAAGGCAAACCTAGTTACACATCTGCAGTTAACAAACCTTTAGGAAGCTAATTTACTATTAAGAAAACTTCAGAAAGGCCCTGTTTATAACATATATTACATATTACGAATGTGACCCATTATAAGAAGTTCACCCAGTATCTTAGCTGAGATGTGCCACATTCCCCTCCCGCCCCCTGCTCGCGCGTGGACTGCCTCCTCGCAGCATTACCAGGGAAATGCTTTGCAAAACCTAGATCTGCATTTCACCAACTTGGGAAACCTGGACACTGTAGGCTATTTTACTGCTGCTTTTTTGTTTGAAACTTTGTTCTTCAGAAGCAATTACTTTGTGAGCTCGTTTTTGTTTTCAAAACTTTCAGAGGACAATTTCAAAACACCTAAGATCAATCAGCTATTGCCAATACTGAATTATTATAGTTATTTCCAGTTGAGGAAAATGAATTTGTAACTATGGCTTAGATCCCAAGAACTGCTTGTAGTTCTCCCTTCCCAGACCACAAATTCTGGCCTTCTGCAGTTTAGTTCCAAGTGCGTGCGTTTGTTTTTGAAGGAAAATTGTTCAAACAAACTCAACCAATGTCTAAATACATCTCCCCCCACTGACTGAGACTTTATCTGCTTTAAAACATCTTAACATTTTCATAAAGATAGAAATGATACTGTCAAGGTTGGCAAACCAAACAATTGAACTAACTGTCATGGCTTAAAATTGCAGCTGTGATCAGGTAAGTTCTCAATTAACACTTCTCCCATTTTTCCTTTTCCAAAAAGCAGAACTTTGACAACTTCTTCCCAACTGCAGACGGGGACAGACCCAAGAAGTAGAAGATAGAAAAGCCTAACTGTAGGCATATACCCATGAGCATGGTTTAAAATAACCAGTGCACATTTAAAAAAAAAAACAAAACAAAAAACCAAAAACCAAACAAAACACAAACTTCACACAAAAAAACCCCAAAGTTTTTTAAATAGTAAACTGATTGCATAATATAGGTCAGATTTTTGGCCTTACAACCTTGACAATGCCAATTTTGCATAAAGAAACGAGAGATGAAGATGGGTATTCACGTGCACAGTTGCAGTCTACAATGTTTCATGTACTTAAAATAAATTCTTATGAGGACAAGTTAGGTGCACTTAAAAATAAAGACTTATCATGACCTGTCTTGAATTTTCCAGTTTTCCTTGTTGCTTTAAAAAAGTCAAAGGTATATGGTTAAACACAATTTCATAACAGAACAGTCTGAATAATATGTAGAACAGCTGAATATACAACATAGTTTCCAAGAATTACTGTAACATTTCAGGGTGAGGTTCTCATGGTTGAGATGCCAGACAGTAAGCCATCCATACCAAACAGGTGAGGACTTCTATATTACTACTATAACCCACTCTGATTTTTGCACCAGAAAGCCTGGCTGATTCACACATTTAAAGGAAATCAGCAAGACAAGCGGCATTTTCCAAATAAAAATGTCTCCTATTTTTTTTTCCGAAGGAAGAAAAGAAATAGTTCAGTAACTGCTAGTTGGCTTTATAGCAAAACATTTCATCTATATTTCTGCATAATTTCAGGCATGAAAATACATGGTTGCATTTAGAGAGTGACGGTAGGACAAGCTGACATTTCCAATTCATTTGGTGGGTAAGTTACATTTGTTTTACATCATCTGGCAATAAAGTTCCAACATGAAAGCCTGAGCTAGGAATTTTATTTGTTATTAAAAAAGAATGTTCCAAAAAATAAAGTGAATAAGTTTAAAAAAAAAAACCAAACAAGCAAAAAACCAGAAACAAAAAACACAAAACCCCCATTTTGTTGGATGCTTCTCTCTTCCTCCTCATAATTAAAGTTCTTGGAGCTTTTTTTTTTTTTTTTACTCTACCCTATCAGCAGTATCTATTTCACAGCTTCAGTACTTCAACAGAGATAACAGGTTTAGTATTAATGAAGTGGAAACCTGGAAATTCAATTTCCATATACATTTTGTTAACTCCTATATTTCCTGAATCTGTAAAATTAGGTCTCTGGATAAGAATTGCATATTCGGAAATTTTAAGAAAAATGCTTAGTCTTAGCACTTCCACTTCTAAACAAAAATCAAATACATGCCATACTGGAAACCTCTCAAATATTTTAATCAAATTTTAAAACACAGGGACAGTCACTTCGTCTAAATAAAGTTATCTTTGCCAAGGTGGTATCTCCTGAGCCAATATACCACTCAGGAAGGTTTGGTATCAAGTGACTTTTCATCCCCATGGCATTATATACACTTTCCCTGAAGAGTTCAGCTTGGTAGAGAAAAGCAGAATGAAGAAAGTGGGGGAAAAAAAAAAAAATATTCCTGAAAAAAACACACCTCTTCCTGATCACAAGCCAGATGTACTCCCTCCAGAGAGAGAGAAAAATGCACCATCAAGAGGTATGAACTCAGGCTTGGAAGCCAGGAATTCCCTATTTCTAATCCATGCTGTCACACAGACTCTTTTTTACAACCTGGACAAATTACTTAGTTTGTTTCTCCATTTTCCCCACTTCTGAAATTTTTCTAATATAACAGTAGTGTTATGCTTTGAGATATCAGCTGTTTTCAAATTGGGGGAGAAGAGGATGTGAAGAGACATCATGAAAAGTATCATCCCAATTTTTTCTCTTCTCTCTTCCTTCACCCTGACATTGCTTTCATCTCTGGTAGCAACTGAAGGGTGTTTGAGCCTCTGGGATGGTCAGAAGAGAACCAGCCAGAGGCTGTGGCTTAGACAGGAACACAACTTAGACACGTGGCACTGACCGGCTGCTCCTTTCTCCTCCCCAGTGCTACCCAGCCCAACGTTGAGCTCAGCCTACAAGATACTGTAAAAGCAGCCGCACCAAGCAAAGAGCAAGCAAAGTGGGCTTCTACTCCAGATGTTCCTACCAGACACACCTAAGAAGTTCAGCGAAGACTTGTATGCCTGATGTGCTTGAGCTGGAATGGCCAGATCTGCTGATATGGGCCCAACATGACACCGAAATGCTTTCACCCTAAACACAGAGGGCATCAGCTTCATCAAACCATGTCAAGAAGGCAAAGCTGTTGCAAGAAGCTTTTTGACAGCTCTTTAGGAGTGTAATCTAGGATGGGATTGTCTAAACGAGCACTAAGCAGAGCTGTTGCCGTCTCTCCCCGAGAAAAATCCTGGATCATCAGCAATAACTATGCAAAGCAGAGTTGGAGGGTTGGGGGAGAAAGGCAATTCTGCCAGGGCAGCACAGCGGCTTCAGAATGTGAAGGCACCAAACAGCACTAGAACCTGCAGTGGGGAGATTTTGGGAAGAGGAGGAGTTGCAGAAGTTGGGTGAGGTTACATTTGAGATGTATAACAAAGGAGAGCAACGAGTCTATGCTAGAGCCCGGGCATGCAGATTTGAAGGGCACAGGGTAAAGATGGGACCAGGACCAGGTTTTGGTGGAGATCATGGTATAAATATCTTTTAAACAGAGAAATAGACCATATGACTTGCTATGCCTTAAGGGCAGATGCTGGAGTAGGCCAGAGGACACAGGTGAGTGTGGGAAGGCTGTAGGAGAGATCTAGGCTATCACAGAACAGAAGAAAGGGGAAGGAAGAGAAAAGGGGGATTTGTTAAGTTTCAGAACTGCTGGTTTAGGTAGTGTTTAAACGCTTTGAATGCGAGGTCTGTAAATGTGTTAAGTCTGGTTATTCAAAGCTTTGAGGAAAGGCCTGAACAACAGGGCAAACACAAACAAGACTGAAAATAAGGAAGGGGAACACATCCAGGGCAAGAGTGGTATTTTACTGACATTAAACTGCATCCAGACAGCAACTATTTGGCAATTTCTTTCTGGAAAGCCTCCCAGATTCTCCCCCACCCCCCACCCCCCATCTAGGCCGAAGAATCTAAGCAACTAACTAATTCAACTGCTTCCTTTCATGCTAAGATCTGAATTAAAAACCACGTAAGGCAAAAGCAAAACTTTTTTTTTTCTTTATAACACTGCAGAATTCTTTTCAAAAATATCTTATACAACAGAATATCTACTATGCTGTGCTGGTTTT